AAGAACTTCCCTGATCCATCCTTTTGAAGAATTTGTTAAGAACAGAACAGAACAGCTTTATTGTCACTTTGAATGTACACTAATTGGCATACATTAAAATGAAATTTTGTTGTGTACAGCTCTTAAAGGATCACCACCTCCAATATACACTACATAAACATGACAAAATAAATAAATACAAAATTATATATATATATATATACCCACATATATATTATATGACACATATTATATGACACATAGAAATATTACTCTCATGGCAAGAGTACTCATCCTTAAAAGAAAGTGAGGTAGTGACCTCTAAAAAGAAGCCTTTGAATTTAGATCTTTTTTCCCACTACCACTATATTTATTAAACAATATTTAATAAACATTTATTGCAGGATGTTAACTGGTCCCCCCCCCCAATGAACCAACACTTCTTCGAAAATGCTCATTTTGAAGTGGGCTTCTAAAGGAAAACCCATGTAGATGGCAGTACCTACTGTATTTTTCAGACTATAAGAGGCACCGGTGTATAAGACGCACCAAGATTTCGAAAAGGTAAGTAAGAAAAAAAAGTTTTTGCCCTCCCTGGCCCTCAGGAGCACTCTGCAGGCCTCCCAAACCCTCTGCATGCTCCATTTTCATAAAAATGGGCAAAAACGGGCTGTTTTTCACCCATTTTTGCAAAAAACGAGACACACAGAGGGTTTGGGAGGCTTGCAGAGTGCTCCTGGGGGCTGGGGGAGGGCAAAAATGCAATTTTTGCAAAAATTGGGCAAAAAACGGGCCTGTTTTCACAAAAATGGAACGAGCAGGGTGGGGCTTCGGGAGGCCAAAAATGGCTGGATTCAGTATATAAGACGCACCAACATTTCCACCCTCTTTTAGGGGGGAAAAAGGTGTGTCTTATACTCCAAAAAATACGGTAAATAATCTTGATTAAACTTGGAAAGTTAAAAAGGTTTGGATCTGGTTAGTATTTGGATGAAAGACTACTAGAAATACCATAGCTAGTATGTTTGTGACAATGGTAAGCCACTTCCATATCATTACTAAAAAAATATCAGATGATTATGAAATTGATTTTTTCCCATAAAATTGGGAATAAGCTATGTTTATATAGTATTATAATTATTTTATACAACATATAATGTTATAGTATTTGAATAAATCTTATGTGGAGTTCATTTCCTTTAACTATTTTGTAACACCACCCAATTATTTTTAATTTATATTTAGTGTGCCAACCAAAATTACTGTCCTGTTTTCTTGATATATAGATTGCAATGTTTCATTATTTCTGTTTAAGTTGGTCATAAGAGAAGCCCAAGTCCTAACAGTCTTTCCCTTTTCAGAAAGCTTCTTCCAGTATGTTAAAAACAAGAAAAAAGTCAAGGAAACAATTGGTCCATTCCTGGGAGAAAATGGCAAGAAGGTGACAAGCAACAGGGAGAAAGCAGAACTACTTAACTCGTTTTTTGCATCTGTCTTTACACAAAAGGAAAAAACAGTCCAACCTATCAAAAACAGCACCACAAAAAACAGATTAGGAACACAAGTTAAAATAGGGAAGAAAATGATAAGTGAGCACCTGCCTACCCTAGACAAGTTCAAATCACCAGGACCAGATGGATTACACCCCATGGTTCTGAAGGAACTGGCTGATGTGATCTCAGAACCACTGAACTATAATTTTCAAAGATCCTGGAGCACCGGGGAAAAGCCAGAGGACTGGAAAAGAGTTGATGTAGTTCCCATATTCAAAAAAGGAAAAAAAAATAGATCCAGGAAACTACAGGCCCATCAGCCTGACCTCAATACCAGGGAAGATTCTGGAAAAGATAATCAAGCAACAAATCAGCAAATACCTAGAAGCAAACAAAGTAATAATCAAAAGCCAACATGGGTTTGTCAAAAACAGATCATGCCAGACTAATCTTATTGCATTCTTTGACAAAGTGACAAAATTAGTGGACCAGAGGAATGCTGTCGATATAATTTATACTTGGACTTTAGTAAGGCATTTGATAAAGTAGACCATAACCTACTATTTGATAAAATAGAAAAATGTGGGTTAGACAGCATCACCACCAGATGCATTTGTAACTGGCTGACCAATCGCACTCAACATGTAGTCCTCAATGGAACTGCATCTACATGGAGGGAGGTCTGCAGTGGGGTATCCCAGGACTTTGTTTTAGGCCTAGTACCCATCTAATTTGCAGATAACACCAAGCTAGCAGGAATAGCCAACTTTCCAGAAGATAGGCTTAAGATATAGAAGGATCTTGACAGACTCGACCAATGAGCGCTATTTAACAAAACGAAATTCAATGGTGAAAAAAGTAAGGTTCTACATTAGGCAAGAAAAACAAAATGCACAGGTACAGTATATGAGTAACTTGCTCAATAGTGGTGACTGTGAGAGGAATCTTGGGAGTCCTAGTGGACAATCAGAAATATGAGCAAGCAGTGTGCTGCAGCTGCCAAAAAAGCCATCACAATTCTAGGCTGAATAAACAGAGGGATAGAATTAAGATCACATGAAGTATTAATACCACTTTATAATGCCTTGGTAAGGCCACACTTGGAATACTGCATCCAGTTTTGGTTGCCATGATGTAAAAAAGATGTTGAGACTCTAGAAAGAGTGCAGAGAAGAGCAACAAAGATAATTAGGGGACTGGAGGCTAAAACATATAAAGAATGGTTGCTTGAACTGGATATGTCTAGTCTTATGAAAAGGACTAGGGGTGACATGATAGTAGTGTTCCGATATCTCAGAGGCTGCCACAAAGAAGAGGGAGTCAAACCATTCTCCAAGGCATCTGAGGGTAGAACAAGAAGCAATGGGTGGAAACTGATCAAGGAGAGAAGCAACTTAGAACTAAGGAGAAATTTCCTGACAGTTAGAACTAATTAGTGGAACAACTTGCCTGCACAAGTTGTAAATGCTCCAATACTGAAAGTTTTAAAGAAGAGATTGGATAACCATTTGTCTGAAATAGTGTAGGGTGTCCTGCCTAAGCAGTGGGTTGGACTAGAAGACCTCCAAGGTCCTTTCCAACTCTGTTATTCTAAGTATTCTTATTCTAAGAATAGTTTGAAACATCCTTAAATAAGAGGTGACATTACAAATCAACATTGTTGAGACAATACAAAGCCTGACTTCCTAATTATATCAGCACAATGGTTGGATGGTGCAGTAAAATTGCTGCATATCCCATTGATTAAAGAGTGTCATCCCTGTGAACCAGGAAGTATGTCTTCTCTGCTGTAGTGCCTTAGCACACTATTCCACCTGAGATTAGTTTAACCACAATCCTGCTGGCCTTTCAGTAAGCTCTTAAGAGTTGGCTGTCCTCAAGCACAAGGGTCAGGAGGTCATTGAGCCTGTGAGGTGCTGTTCACTTATCATCAGTTGCCATTATCTGCTTGTTTTTTTTAAAAAAATATTGTTTGTTCTTATATTGATGTTTTAATTGTGCTTGCTGGCCAGAGTTGCTATGAGATAAGAGGAGCCATATAAATAGAATAAAATAAATAAATCACCACTGAAATGAGTATTAACTGTGCATTCAGTCTTGCAACGTATTTTGAATTTCAGCCCTCAAAACTTTTTATATTTACTTGCTTTTCCCCTATTCCATTTTATACTGTTTTGCCTGATTCTGAACTCAAAAATATGCTTAATTATAGCATATAACTAAATTGTTTACATCTTTGGTTGATACAATCCAGCTATGCATTTTCAACTGTGATACATAACTGTTCAATTGCTATGTTATAGTTTTGCAGTAAAATATGGTATATACTTTAGTAAACAGTGGGAATTTAGCCACAGAAGGAATTAGGAGTTATATTCTATATATTTTAGAATATGGATTCAGGAAGAATGTTAACTCAGACTAGTTTGTGTGAAAGGATGGATTGTGAATATAATAAGCAACTTTTTTTTTAGTCCCAGAACTTGAGTGTATACAGTACTGGGCCTAAATTCTAAAATTAAGGTTCCACAACAGCACAGTTTAAAATAATTCTTCCAGGCTTTTGCAAAACCTAAACAGTATATTAAGGGAGGGGGAGGTTTAATCAATCCACCTATTTCCTTTCTGAGAAAGAGCCAAATTCATTAGGAATTTGTCCTAATGTTGCCATTTTCATTTGTGGCAGCCTTATGGGAAGTCAAAGTGATGGAGTGAATACGCATTCCTGGATGTTATGATGCACCCTGACAATTCCCCCATAGATTTAATTTTTCTTTTTAAATCAATTTTAACCAAAAGGAAAAAAAAAAAAACCCTACAAGCATTTCAGTTTTCCATACAAAGCCTAGGACTAACTCAATATACCACCTGTATTTTTACTGATGTCTGGAGGCGATAAAAATGACTTGAAAAAACGTGAGGGATCAGACATCCCAAGGAAACACAGTTTAAAAGTTGTAACAGCAGCTACAGAAGGGGCTCTAGACCAGGTTTAGCCCAGAACTAGTCTCAAAATAAACTATCTCCCGTAACTGCTGGGAAGGTAACAGGCTTATGCTATTAAGAGGGCAGGTGGGGTGAGGTTGCAGCAGTTTAAATATAGTAAACAGGCTCAACTTGATACCACCCTTTGGAGGAATGACAAGTAAGAGTTGGGATGATAATGCCTTCATGAAGAGGCTTCTTTTTCATTCAGGGCATCAAAATCCCACATGAGGTAACAACGGACAGACAGAACGAGAACCGAACCCGCCTTCCGATTGCCCGGCCGGCTCCCCGCAATCTCGCGGCCTCCTCTGCAAAACCCCAACTCCGCAACCCAGGAGTCCGCTCGAAGGGCCAAGGCCCCCCAATGCACCTGGTCGGATAGATTTCCTCGTAAACCCCAGCACGCTGCCGACGAGGAAGCGAAGCCGGGGGCTGGAGTTCAGGAGGCGGAGAGCAGAGCCCGTCCCTCCTCCCGCTCAGCGCGGCGGCGCCGTCGTAGCCAGCACAGAAAGCACCGCCGACGAAGCGCCTGGAAGCCGGCTGGCTGGCTGGCTGGCTGGCGGGCGGCGGCGGCGGCCTCCGCGGCGCCCCACGCCAAACTCTGAAAGCCCGCCGCCCGCCTCTGCTCCTCCCACTCCTTCAACCGATCCTGCCGTGACGCCTCCATTGTGTGCGCAGCGGCAGCGGCTCCCGGCGACTGTTGTATCCGGCCGGCGCCTTTTTTCTCCTCCTCCTTCCTTCCCCCTCCCCTTTTCCCCGTAGAAACTGCTGTGGCCGCCGCCGCCGCCTCTTTCCCGCCGCCCCTCCCGCTTCTCCTTTTCCTTCAGCCGGGCGCCCCCCGCCTCGCCGCCTCATCTTCGGTGTCTCCCCCTCCCTTTCACTCGATGACGCGATGGCAACGGCCAACTTCGGCAAGATCCAGATAGGGATCTATGTGGAGATCAAGCGCAGCGATGGTGAGCCGGGGAAAGGGGGAGGGGAGGCGGAGGACAGCAAACCGATGAATGGGTGGAAGCGATGCCGGGGGAGCTGGAGTGGAGGGGCCCGCCCTCCTCAACCCGGAGCGGCCGGGGCGGAAGGTGGGCGCGGGCCCCGAGGAAGGAGCAGCGTCGGCGTCGGGGCCTGTGGCGTCGGCCCGCGGTCGTTAAGGAGATTTTTATGTCGCCTCTTGCGGCGCGGATGGGGCGGTGAGGCACCCGGGGTGGCAGGCTTGCGCTGTCGCCGCTGGAGACGGCAGAGGAAAAGGGAGGTTGCTGCAGTGCCGTGGGGAAGGGAGGGCGCGGAGCCGCGGGGAGGGTTTTGGGGGTGCGGAGTTGTAGGGGAAGCCGCCTCAGGGATATGGGGGAGGCTCTGGAAGGGCGTGGCCGAGGAGGCCGAAGCCGGCCGGTTGGAAAGGCTGCTGCGCGCGGAAACTTGGGGTTAGCAACAGGAGTATTTTCGGCGGGCGATGGGGAAGCATGTGCAGGAGACCCAAGGAGAATGCAGGTAAGTCTCACGTGCGGCTTCTCCGAGGTGTAAACCGGTATTCTGGGTATCCCCCAATGCGTTCAGGTTTCCTTCCGTTAAAAAGCAAAAGCAAATGGAGTGACACCCCACTATTGAGACCGATGTCATACAGGGTGCAGTAATTAATTTAAATAAACGGGATTGTTAATCTCTCGTTGAGGCAGCCGCATATTTGCATATACTACTCCTCCCGGGAGGGTGAAGTTCCTGGGTCGATCCCGGGTGGTGTTTTTTTTTTCCTTCCTTTTTTTCCTTCCTTTTTTTTTCTTCCTTTTCCCCATTTCTGCCCTGTGTCTCGTGGCAACAGTGTGTGAAAAAGCCTTTCTAACGATGCGGATGAAGTTTGTAGGCGTGGGAAGCTTTTGGTGAGATTACACTTGCACGGTGTGGATAACAGCGTGCGGAGGGTTGCGTGCAAAATGAAGCTCTTGCTCAGCCATGATGAGTGAGATGCCATTGGATGCTCCTAGTAATTTTTTTTGATGACGCTGGGATGAGGTCAGTTTTAAATTCGTTCTGGAAGGGTACCTATCCGATACTGCTTCGTGTTTGCGAAATCTAGGAGCTCCTCACAGGTCTAGAAATCGGAGGTTTTCATGAGTACTAGTACTTAGTACTAAAAGGACTAAGAAATAAATGCTATTGTTAATTGTGCTTTTTCTCTTTCAGCATTTTGATTTGCGCTCCATATACTTTTTATTCTGCAGTTCTAACGGCATATTAGTGTTTGTCAGAGGAACCTATACCGTTAATTAAGCAGGCTTAAATGAATCAGGTTAAAATTCTTGGTTTTGTTATATTTTCAAAGTGATTCAAGGAATTTGTTCATGCTTTACCACAGATGATAAAAATGAGTATATGTCTCTAACAAAATGCTTTTGTCTGGATCGTAATGTTTAAATATATTCTTGTATTCTACTAACTGTAAGAAATAGAATTATAGTTGCTTACCACCACCAGTGAAAAATGATGGGATGAGTATCCCTGAGTATCTTTGGTTGGATAGGTTCCTGACTGGCTTTAAATAGTTCCATATCTACATTATCAAATAGTTTCAAATAAATTGTTTTATTTTTGTAAGGAATGTTTCTTGTTTTGTGGAGGGTCATTGTCAGTCATCTCTGCTAACAATCTTTTGAATTTTTTAAAAAGTAATTAACTTGTTGCCTGCTGTTTGGGAAAAAAACTGTAAATGCTAGCTCACAAATATAACTTTTGGTAGATTTTATTCCTTCTAATTCTGTAATGAAGCAGGAATTGGAACAAATAATATTTAACTCTAAGCAGGGAAGTTGTAAAAGCATTCTGAAAGAATGTAGAAGCAAACCACTTCCTTCCTATTGCAAAGAAAACATAGATGAACCCACCATCAGCCAAGCTCAGTGTGGATGCATTGCTAATATAACTATGACTCGCAGCTTTAAGTCACTTAGGGAATTAAGAAACAGTAGAATATATATGCTGGTGAGTTTCAGAACTTTGATACAACTTTGTAATAAGGCACAGCACACACTCATGCTATTTTCAAAAAAATCACTAACAGATTACAGGTAGTCCTCACTTGCTGTCCACTTATTCAGCGATTATTTGAAGGTAATATACAGTGGCACTGAAAAGTCTTATGACTGGTGTTTGAAGTTGTGGCTGTCGTATCCCTGTGGTCACATGATTATAATTTGGGCCCTTGGCAACCAGTTCACATTTATGACAGTCACAGTTTCCCATGGCTACATGATTTCCATTGTGACATTCTCAACTGATGTTTGGCAAGCAAAATCAACGGGAAGCTTAAAAGAAGTTGCTCCTCACAGTTGTAATGTCACACTTAGCAACTTGTGATGATTTGCTTAATGGCCATACCTGGAACTGACCCCTTGAGTTGACCTCACATGGTATCAGTCTTAACTACCATACCATTTAGCACCTGAGTTGTCAATTTGTCTTATAGTTGGTAAGTGAGGACTACCTGTATAAATGTTGATTAAAAATTGATAAATAATTGAATAATAGTTTTTATTGTTTAAGCCTGTTTAACTTACTGCATTGTGTTAAGATACTTCCAGATATAAATTGGCTAAAGTTTGTAAAGCAGCAGTTACAATTTATATAAATTGTTGATGTTTAAACCAATTTTTAGGAACATGCCTGAAGGTCTAAAATCTAAATCATTAAAAAGGTACTTGCCAATAAGATGTTAAGTTTTGTACCACACACTTGATAGGTCAGTATTGACATGAAAGTGCCACCCATCAAATATAAAAGGATGATGAGATTCTGAGAAAGCAACTAGATATTTATAATACTTGGATTAGTTTATATTTGAAGGCATGGTAAAGTGTAACTAATCAGCATGTACTCATGGACCTAATCAGTTTGTCAATGGTTTGCATTTCTGTAGATCAGGAGTCGGCAACCTTAAATACTCAAAAAGCCACAAAGTTCCTAACCGGAAGCCCCCCGTTCAATTCTGGAGCCAACTGGAAGTCCGGTTCCCTCAGCATAGAGTCTCCTTCTAGCGCGACATCTTTTTTCCTCTACTGACCGGAAGTCTAGTTCCCCCACCATAGAGTCTCCTCCTAGAGCAGCATCTTTTTTCCTCTATCTGTCCTAACCAAAAGCCCTATCAGTTGTGGAGCTGACCAGCGACAGGGAGCTGCAGCAGAGGGATGAAAGACCCACATACCGCCCCTGCCATAGACTGTCTACTATAGTAGAAGAATGTTATTGGTCTTTTTCCTGAAGTGTAATCAACTTCTCTGTCTACTCAAGTATTCCATGTGCACCATTGCTTACATTTAGAATTCAGGTAATTTAAGGCTATTTATAGCAAAGAACTGACAGGCAGAGAAAAGATTAAATACTCATTTCCCTTCCTAATTCTCTGACTTTGATCCTTGTCTTGAAGTAGTTTTTCCTGTTTAAAAAGGAATTATGGTAACAGCACCTATCTACAATATGAGGAGGATAGGGGAGAATACCACTATCGTAAAATAACTACCGTATTTTTTGGAATATAAGAAACACTTTTTCCTCAAGTGGGTGAAAATTTCGATGCGCCTTATAGACCGAATACAGGCCTGTTTTTGGCCACCTGAACCCTCCGCACATTACGTTTTCTCCCTCCTCAGCCCCCAGAAGCACTCTGCAGTGCTCTGCACGTCCTGTTTTGCCAAAAATGGGCCCATTTTTGGGCTCCCGAACACTCCGCACATCATGTTTTCACCCTCCCCGGCCTCCAGAAGCACTCTGCAAGCAAAAACAGGTCTGTTTTTGGCTAAAATGGGATGTGCGGAGCACTGCAGAGTGCTTCTGGGGGCTGGGGAGGGAGAAAACGTGACGCGTGGAGGCCAAAAACTATTTTTTTCTTGTTTTCCTCCTGTAAATCTAGGTGCGTCTTATAGTCCAGTTCATTTTATAGTCTGAAAAATATGGGTGAATCTTTTTGCACAGAATATCGGACTGGATAGGTCTAATCTTTTTCCATTTTTTTTAATATTCTAGTTAGTGGGACCACATATAGTGCTACTGTTACTCTACTGAATATTGTATCATTACTACTCTAGTGAAGAGCCTATGCAGATACATGAACTCAGGACCAGAATTATAGCTTTGCTTCCCTAGTGACATTTGGGTTTACTGTTAATTTCAGTAGAAGTAGTAGATGTACATAGATTCAAAATTATGTTGAAACTAATCCTATTAAAACTATTAAAATTGTAATGCATTTCTGTATAAAATTATAAGTAATAAGGCTGCTAAGATCATTCTGAGGAGTGCTTTCTAGCAATTTCACTGAATTTTAGCAAAGCCATGTGTTTACTGATTCATTGCAGTACCAAACCCAATTGAATTGCTTTCTGTGTATGTACATGTGAATTAGGAAGACCCTCAAAGCAGTCAGCGGTTATGACTCAGTTACACTTCATTTGCAGTCTTAACTGAGTTGAAGAAACATATTTATACTCTCAAAATGTTATTTCAAATATATTCATATATTTTCCACCCAAGTTTTGAATGCAAAAATGGAACAAATATGCATTCTAAAGAATAATGGTATTTCATTACACATTTTAGTAAGAAGTGAAAATTAGATTAACAAAGATGTGAACCAAATAAGAATTCTCACCTCTCTTTAATGGATAGAAACCTCTTTAACATTATATTTCTACCTTCTTTGCATGTTTTTTTTTTCTTTCCAAAGTGCAGGTTTCTCATTTTTTTGTCCAGTTCCCTTCAGAAAAATTAATCTTTTGATATTGAGTAAATTATTTAGTTCATGATTGTATCTCTGAAGTGAAATGTAATGTACAGGTAATCCCTTGATTTACAACAGTTCATTTAGTGAGCATTCAAAGTTACAATGGCACTGAAAAAAAAAGACTTTTGACCATTTTTCACATGACTATTGCAGTATCCCCATGGTCATATGATCAAAATTCAGATGCTTGGC